TATAGATGTATGCAGTCAGAGACTATGACATCTATCTGAGAACTTTTAGTTCTCAGAGTTTTTCCTATATCTGTAAAGTTAACTATTATACATTCATCAATTTCAGATATGCAAAATCAGAAAATTCCAGCTCAGAATACAAAAACTGTTTACAAATTGCAGTGTTTTAACATCTTCTGATACTTTGAAATCATTTGACAATATCATGACAAAGGAAAAGAGAACACAGTCTTAAAGATAGACACATTAAATAGATAGATAGAAAGGAATTGAGAGGAAAAGATAAAGTAAAGAGAGACTGTAACAAAACAAATTATTAAAAGATAGTATATAGCTGTTTTAACAGACTATATCTGATTAATTTCCTTCTCTTCATATTCAGATAATTCTGAATTTAGCCATTTTCTTGTAGCTGCTTGAGTTTCTGATAGAAAGTCTATTAAGTATTTAATTCCTGTCTCAGTTGAGAATAAGAATCTTATATTTAATTAATTTAGATCATACTTCTCTTTCAATCTGGCTCTGAGACTATTGTATAATGTACAGTGTATTACAATATGCTCAGAATTCTCATTTGCATTGCAGAATGAGCATTCTATTGAGTCAAATCTATCATCAAATCTTTGTATATAAGATTTGAAATAGCCATGTCCTAGTTTCAGCTGTATTATAGATGAGAATACTTTCTTTTTACATTCAATTGAATAAGATTTTCACTTGGGTTTTGTTTCAAATCTTGAATAATGTATACTCTTCTTTTGTTTCTGCCAGCTTTCATTTCACTTGTCTAAACAAGATTCTTTTATTTTTCTCTTTATAAAAGACCAGGACATAATTTTTTGAATAGATCTGCTTAATTCTGCACCCTTTTTTGCAGCTGAATCAGCCAATTCATTGCCACGAATATTCATATGAGCAGGAACTCAGTGTAAATGAATTATCAGCTTTGATATTCTTCTCTTTTGAATTTTCAAAACAGAGTTTAAGATCAGTTCAAGATTCATTTGATCATTATAAATCTGACTATTTCTAAGTCTTTTTAAAGTGGCTTGACTATCAGAGAATATTCATGCCTCTTTCAAACTATTTCCTCTTTTATAAGATTTTATTTCAATGAGTTTGAAAGCTTTCACTATTGCAAATAGTTCAGCATCAAAGACTTCAGATTCACAGCCTAGATTTCAAAAATCTGAGATAAAATTGATATTATCTTCAGTATAAGCAATGCCTGCGTCTAATCTATTCAAATTCTCATTTTTTGAGTCATCTGAATACATTAATGATATTCAATCTGAGTTAGTACTAAAATTATAACTAAGTTAAGAAACAAGATTATTTTCTCTTATATTAATTCTTTTTACACACATCAGTGATCAATTATTAAAAATAAATTATTATCTTTCTTAAATTATTATTATATCTTCTGAATTCACTTCTTTCACTTCTTTTACTTCTATTGAAGATTTATAAACTTTTCAAGAAATCACTATGAATTACAAAGTCTATATTATTTATAATTCAACACAGAATACTCTTTTTTAATTATAATGAATAATCACTTCATTCTTCACATCTGATTTCAGACTATGAAATTTATAAAAAACTCAATATAAATACTGAGATGAACTATGAAATAATTATCAATAGATTATATTATAGATTACTGAAGAGTTATCTCTCTACTATAATCACTGTAACTTCATTCAAAAATATTTATTATAAACTGATTATAACTCTGAAGAAATTTTCTAATATCTGAAGTTATTAGAATACAGATAATAAAAGAAAAATAATCAGAAAATTACTACTAAGTTAATAAGTTACTCTATCAGATAATAATTTTTAATAATACTAACTTTCTAATTTAAAGAAAATCATGTGAAAATAATTATATATCAGTACTCTGATTTCATAACTCTTATCTAATAACTTTTATAAATAATTACTTTATATATATATATCTCTGAATCTTTCTCTTCAATCAATTGAAAACTCTGAATTCTAAATACTTCTTCAAATACTTAATTTAAATCTTCATATTTCATATTAATTCTGTCTTCAGTTCAATCTTGAGATATACTATAAAGTAAATATATAATATCTAGAATCAGAGTTGAAGAATCATTGAAGAGTATCTCTCACAGTGAATGTATAAACTAGTATAAATAATCTTACATTTATAAGAGTTATATGTTATTACATTGATGAGAACTGAACTTATTAAGAGATATTAATTGAATTTGAATCATTGATTAGTAGTTATACTGAGAATTATATAACAGAGATATTAATAACTGTGATTAAAAATAACTATTGAAATATTAATCTCAGTCTTCTTATAATTATAACTAATAATACTGTGAATAACTACACTATAATAAAGAGCTTAGAGCAAAAATTGACTTTGTATTTCTGAAATAATAAATAAGGTCATATTCTCTATATTACTTATATAATTCAACTTGTGATATAAATACTGATAAAGAATCTTAATATCAAGATAAAGAATAATAAGATGACTGATTCTTGAGATAAGAATGAGATAAAAGTAATTACTTAAGTAACTTTTACATTTACTTTATAAAAGATAATATTTTTTAATAATACTTTTTAATATTGCTTTTTAATAATGCTTTTTAATAATACTAATATTAATTTTGAATAGATTGACTAATAATTTAAATATCACAGATTCAAAATATTATTAATACAATTTATATCTTCTCTAAATAATAATAATAATTTCATGATATTTAATAAATAAACAAATCAGTCACATCACTGAATATATACAGAATATTAGAATATAGTGAAGTTTATATATAAGATAACTATTCAGACTCTTCAATTATATCAGATAATTAATTATTAAGTATAATACTCTGATTAGAAAAAGATTCAGATATTAAAACTTTCTAATATAAAGTAAACTCAGTTGAAATATATAATTAATTTACTATTTCAGTTTTATAAGATAATAAAGACAGTCTTAATTACTTATATATTAATACTGCAGTCAGTCTGATAAATGTATAATAGTTTATTTATTTATCTTAAAAAGTAATTGAATTACTTAAAAAGAAATTCAGTCTGAAATAATATTATAGTACAGACTATTATTATTATAAGAAATAAACTAATATATTATTACAGTAAAACTGAACAATCTTTTACAGAGTACTATACTATAGTAGCTCTACTAAATCTCTCTTATTAAGTTAATATCTACACTTCTTAAGATTGAACAGAGAAGAAATGAGACTTATATATTAAATTAATCTAAGACTATTATAATATTAACTATCAGAGATTTAAATAAGTAGATATTTAAGATATAAAGACAGTGAAATATAATTCTCTAATAAGTAATGATCTTTGATAATACTTTATATTATATAGAACTATAATACTAACTTTGAAACAGAACTTATATATATTAATTATAATTAAAAATCAGATAAAACTACATACTTATAAAACTAAATTTAATTACTATCTTTAAGATAATCTGATGAATTTACACATTAAATCAATTCTAGAGTTATGAAAAATTATTAAGAGTATATATTTAACTATTATACTGATAATATATAATATTCTGATAATTTCATTGATAGAAGTAAGAATGAAGTGAAAGTTCAACTCAAGTCAAGATATTTATTACTATTATCAGAGATAATTATAAGAAGAAATAATTAAGAAACTTATAATTATAAAATATGAAATTATCAGATAGTTTAATATCTCTAATCATAGTATATCAGAGAAGTGTAGTTTTTATAAGAAAGTAAAGAATAAACTTATATAAGAATGTATTTAGTTATTTCATAAGTGTTATTAATAATCATTATTAAATTCTGATTATATAAGTAATCACTGAATGAACTGAATAAGACTGATTTTAATCTTCAGTCTCAGTCTTATTCTGATTTTGAAAGAATGATTATCTTTCACAGTTTATTCTGAGAAATTACTCTTATTTCACTGTTCTTGAATTAAATCTGATTATTTTTCATGTTATTTCTCTCAGAAATGATTCATTTTCAGATTTTTTTGAGGCTTGGTCCTGATGAGACTCACACCAAGAAATGTATGAGACCAGACCAAATGAAACCAAATGTGAAATTCATGGTCTCGCCGGCCAGTCTAGTCTCAGACACGGTCACACGGTCAGTCTAATGCCAAGAAATGTATGAGATCAGACCAAATGAGACCAAATATGAAATTCATGATCCCGGCGGCCAGTCTATATAACATGATCTCATGTGATGTCATGTGCATCTCTTTGAATTCAGATGAAATTGAATAGCTGACTCTGCAGTCTGTATGACTCTGATTAATCTGATAATGATGATAGAGATGATACGGGGTGAAAGAGAGTGGTAGAGAGAGAGAGTGATAGAGGCAGTAGAGAGAGTAGAGAGTGAAAGAGGTGGTAGAGGTGATAGAGGTGATACGGGGTGATACGGGGTGGAAGAGGGTGGTAGGGAGAGAGGGTGATAGAAGCGGTAAAGATGAATCAGATGATAGTGATGG